TGCCTCCATTTCAGTTTTCAAATCTTGAACTGTTTCCATTACCTGTTTGATTGTTTTTTCTTGGTTTCCCAGAATTTCATTTACAAATTTACTCATTTCTTCAAACCTTTTAGTATATTTCTCTTCCATTTCTAACTCATTTCCTCAATCTTTTTGTTATACTTATCTTCCATTTCTTTACGGCAGATTTTCACCTCCTGTTTAAGTTCCTCTATTATTTTCATAAAGATCCGCTTAGAGTCAATTTCTTCTATTTCTCTCGAGTAGGGTGTTCAATTCTTCTAGTTTCGTGATCCCTGGATTCTGGAATTGTCATGTTGCCTTTCAGGCTGTTGGAGGAATTCTTTCAGGTTGTTGAAGGAATTGGCGCCTGCCCATCTCCTCCTCTCTGGATGAAACTCCTCAGCACTCTCTGGATAGAACTCAGCCCTCTCTGGATAGAACTCCTCAGCACTGCAGCAGGGATAGCTGGTATTTCCAGGACCCAGAAGACAAAAGGGCAGCAGCAGTGGGAGCAGGGAGGAGTCCGGTGGAACACCGAAGACCCTGCCACAGAAGCTGTGGGTGGAGGGGTTGTGCTTTCTTCTGGGACAGAGAGCCCAGGCGAGCACCCACTCACCTCTCTGGATAGAACTTCTCAGCACTACAGCAGGGCTAGCTGGTGTTTCTAGGACCCAGGAGACAAAAAAAACCCATCTCTTATATTCTGATGGTGACTCTTGCATTTGTAGTTCCTGTTTACTTCCTTGGACTTTCTATTTACTAAATTTCCTAAGTTGTGTTTTCTTTATGGCTTCTACTTTGATTTTCATGTAATAGTTTCATTTACCATTTCTGTTTATTCTTTACTTTCTTGGCATTCTTTAGGGTTTGTCATTTTTCTCTATTTTTTGATTTTCTTTTTCTTGACTTCTTTAAGGTAGGTTTATTTTTCCCTCTTTAAGGACCTCTTTCATCTTGGTAAAGTTGTGTTTAGGTTCATTTTCTTGTGAGTCATTTATGTTGGGATATGTAGGTCTTGCTTTTGTAGGATACCTGGGCTCTGGTGGTGCCATATTTCTTAGGCTGTTGCTGATTTTAATTTTACACAGGCATTTAGCCACCTGTGTTTTTCATGGTTAGTTCTAGTTCCTTGTTTCTGAGATTGTCTTTGTTGGATGAGTGTTTTTTTTTTCCTCTTGGTTTCTGTTTCCTCTTTGGTTTTCTCAACTTTGTGGCCTGGATTTCTGGTTACCGATGTGATCTCTAATCTAGGAGGCAGTCTTTGTCCACGTTTGCAGTTGGACTTCATGCAAATCATTTAGTCTTTGGTGTAGCAGATGATCTCTGTTCCTCTGATTAGTGCAGATTGTTCTTCTGACTAGTGTGGCCTGCACTTAAGCAGCAGAAGTCTGTTCAAACTGGTGTTGTTTTCTCCTTTTATGAGTGGTGTGGCTTGCAGTTAAGTGGTCAGAAATTAATTGAGCTTGAGAGCAGGGCACAACAGGGCTGGTGATGAGCTGAAAAATCTAATGAGAAAGAAAGTTCCACTGACATGTGGGTTACTCAATGTGATTCTAATTGGTGTCCCCTGCCCCTGAGTGGCAGATGTCTGCTGGGGTTGGGGGCATGACCCAGCAGTAAGGCTAGAGCAAGCTAGGATGTTATGATGACGATGCATATTCTTGAATTTTTGAAATCATTGTCTTATAAATCATCTAGGTCATTTTTCTCAGGGGATATTACTATGAGAATGTTAATTTTTGTTGGAAAATTATTGTTTTCGTTATTCCTATTTTTGTATTTGTGATGGACTCTAGGTATCTGAAGTAAGGTTGTTTGTAGTATTTTTTGGTATGTAAATACTAACACTCTTATATTGAATGGGTACTCAATGCTCCGCTTCCTTTTACTTCAACTTTGCAGGTGTTTGACTATCTTCATGAGTCTTATAATTCAGTCCTTGGGTGATTCTTTGTATTTGTTCATATGTAACTTTAGAAGTAGTCTTGACTCAATTCATGATAAATGAAGTTTCACAGATAAGGAACAAAACTCACAGGATTCTAAGAGTTGAGTCACTCTTCAAGAGTTCGTGGGAGGTGCTTAGGTGTTTTCCCCAAGCAATGAGTGATGCTTGTTTTGGTGATATGACTTTGGGGTTCCTAAGTAAAAAGTTGGTCACACAGGGTTTTTCAGAAAGCAAGTGCCAGACTTGTGGTCCTAAAGCAAGTTAAGAGTTTGCATAGAATTGTTGGTGTGAGTGTAGTGCTTTTCCTTGAAAATGGGTAATCATCTAGTTTCCATGGGTGGGTGAAGCAAGAAAAGCTATTCTAGTGTTAGCTGAGGAAGAAACCAAGTGTGCGCACTGGACATGGGCAGTTTCAGGTGGAAGTGAAATATATGATCTCTCATTAATATTGGCAAGAGAACTAAGGAAACTGGGGTGGTGCAGAGGGGTTAACAGCATGTGTTGTTGATTCTCAGCTGAAGAGAGTATATAGGAAGACATACAAAATGAGTAAGGACAGGTAGTCTTTATGTAAGTTGCATGCATGTGTAGATCTGATCATAAGAGTCTAGTGCTCATTCCTCAATATGGACAACACTCAGATAGTGAAGATGACTGTAGTTAGAAACACTAATTATTTCTCTGCCTAGAGAAAGAACTAAATAAATAGGTGCATCAAGAATAAGTGGTGTTGACTGTCCTAGTAGAATCAAATTGTGTGAGAGTCTAGTCTCCATGGCAAGGAATGGAGATAAGCTTCTTTTTCTGAATGGATGAAACAAAAAATCATGTTATGTATCTGAAGTGAGTAAGTTAAAAGGGACTCAAAAAGGAAAGTGGGTATGAATTCATTTGGCAGGTCACAAAGGTCTCAGTTAGTTTTGTTCATGGATCTCAAAAACTTATGAATAGGTATGGCATTGTCCAGTGTGAGCTGGGTTTTATACTATCAACTGTTCATTAAAGAAAGTGTTCACAGTCATGACTATAGGCCAAAGTAATTTCTCAGTTTAGAATCCATCTTCTCAGATGACTTATGGTTTTTTTAATCTTATAATGAAAACTAATGTATACAATGCCTTACTATTCATAAAATATTTCACAACATACTAGGGGCTTTTCTTTGAATATTCTGATAGATTTTAATAACTTCATTTATACCTTTAGTACCAGATTTTTTCTTTTGTTATAAATTCTCCAGATCATTTTCTATTCTTCATTAGTTACTTGCGTATGCAACTGTCTTCTTTCCACTACTTAGTTTCAATTTATATTTTTTCTACATATATTTGACCTCATCGCACCTTTTCACAATTATACTTCATTTGCATTCATATAAATTAGCTGAATTTATAGCTAATAACTGTATATATTGACTATCAGAAGCTAAGCCACTTATAATATTTAGAACATGGGTTTATCTTGGTTATTTCTTTTTCAAGATGAGGTCAGATACTTTTAGATGTCTATGCTTTCTGAGTATCCTTACCTTTCAAAATGGTAGTCATCTGAAGCTAGTCTTACAGTTTTCTCAGAGTAGGTCAATTAGTTCTATCTTCATCTTGACTTCTGTACATGCTCCTGGTTATTCTATGAATTATCATTTTCTGAATCTTCTTCTATTAAATATGTAAACAATTTTTTCAAGGTAAGTAAACAGTGTTCTCCTATGATATTATAGCAGGAATAATTACTGATTATGCTAATATTATTACTGCTACTATGATTATTACTATTTTTCTAACATGAATGGAATTAATATAACTACTTATTCTGGATATAAATATTTCATCAATGTATATTTATATACCATTACTCAATTTTTTCATCTAAACGTTGAGTAGATTATATCCCATACATGATAGAAATGCCTACAATCTTAACTGTGAGATTGTTCCAAATTTGGTTGTGTGTCAATGTTAAGTACACAAAAATTGATCTGAATTTTCTTATACTACAGAATGGAAAAGATACTGGGGCAATATTTGAAAAAGTTTGAATAACTCTATTACATAAATTTTCAAGTTTATTTAAATAATATAAGAGTATTAATAATTGATTCTAGATGGAAATTGAAAATATAAATGTGTTATATAATACAGGTGAGCAAATAGACAAAAAGCAATTTACTACAAAGATGGGGAAAAGAAATTGATATACACAGAAGACTGAAAACTTGTCTCACCTTCTATTAAAATAATAACAGACCAAAAAGAAAATACTTCCTTGAAAAACACTTAGTTTTCTAGAAATGAATACTAAGAAATCAAAAAAGTCTATTGCATTCATCACACTTAATTTTTAACCTGTGTAAACAAATGATTACTGAAAACATGAAATTGCATGATTATTTAATTTACCATTTTTATCAAAGTAATTTATGTAAATGTATACAAGGATATGATTATCAATAAGACTATATAGTGAAATTTAAGACACTATGTTTGTTATTGTATTTTTTATATTGAAGTACTTACCATATTAAGTCAACATTCAACACACCCAACATACATTTAACTTTCAAAAGGCATATCATATGAACTGTGATGTGAAAAACAGTACACTATTGTATCCTTCCAAGTATATGGGTTACGTTAAAATAAATTTTTGAATATTGTGGTGAAATTTATATCAAATATGCATTTTGTTATGCATTTTAAATAACTTATACAATAAAATTCTCCACATTTTACTTTCTAGACTCTATTATATTGTAACTTTTTATTCTATGAGCTTCCTTGAATTTTGAAAGTCAGACTTCCTACTTTCATCAACATTTTTACATTTTTATGAGAGTAACACTATGTGGAAATGTATTAATATTTAAATTTTTTCTGTATTCTGAAATTTGTTTGAGAGATGCCTTATTTACTCTAAAAACACATGTAAATAAAGACATTCTATAGTTTGTCTATTTCAATTTTAGTATTTGTTTGATTTAAGCACTGCAATGAAAATATGAAATGGTCCTAGGATGCAATTAACGGAAAATTAACATTTTATTTTTCAGCTTTTAATTGCATACTGATATTAATCAACAATTCTCTGAAGTTTCCATGTTTAATCATTTGGAGCCTCTTGAATTAGTCCTGTGTTCTCAGATTTATCATCAAACACATATTGCCAACTAAATCAGGAGAAAAGATAAAGTATAAGAAATCAAGCATCCTCAAGCTGAACTATATCCAGTCCTTTGTCACACTTACCAGATTTATCTAAACCTCTGTTTGCCGATGTTAAACAGGCAAGCATTGCAGACAACACCACTTTCATGTTATTCAGATTAAGGAGAGGAGACTGGAGTATATAGGAAATGTCGTGGATGTTCTAGCCTGACACTAGATTTGAATATGAGTACATTTGAAGAGGATTCTGAGCCAGTAACAATTGAAATTGTAAGTTCTGTCTTACCTACAGAAGACACAGAGAGAAACCTCATTCTCTGCCTTCAGAATGAAACTGATAAAATGGAAAACCTTACTGAACCTCTGAATAAGAGGCCTTGTTTGTCCTCAGAGGATGATTCCACTCCTTGTGTACCAGCAGCTGCATCCCCACTACCAAAAATGGAACAGAGTTTTCAGTTGGTCACAACCTCAGCCACAGAATTGACAGATGAAGAGATTACTGGGGGAACTATGTTGCAGTTTGTGATTTTACAGGATGATAAACCAGAAAAAAAAATTCCCTTGGCAAGTAAGGAAGAGTCAAGCATTAGGCAAGCATGGGTCACAGCTAAAGAAGATAAAGTTAATCTAATCAAACAAGGACATAAATGGAAGCAGGGAGTGTGGTCTAAGGAGGAAACAGATATTTTAATGAACAACATTGAATGCTATATGAAGGAACATGGAGTAGAGAATGTCGCAGAAATCATTTTTAAGATGTCAAAAGGTAAAAGAAAAGATTTCTACAAGACTATATCATTGGGTCTGAATCGACCTTTGTTTTCAGTATATAGAAGAGTGGTCCGAATGTACGATAACAGAAACCATGTGGGAAAGTACACCCCTGAAGAAAGTGAGAAGCTCAAGGAGCTTTGGCAGCAGCATGGTAATGACTGGATAAAAATAGGTGCTGCCATGGGAAGAAGTCCATCTTCTGTCAAAGACCGTTGCCGACTAATGAAGGATACTTGGAACACAGGGAAATGGACCAAAGAAGAGGAACATATTCTCAGAGATGTGGTTCATGAATTGACATGCACTGAGGTGAATGAAAAAGTCACAAAGGGTGTGTCTTGGTCAACAGTGGCTCAACGAGTAGGTACTCGCTCAGCAAAGCAGTGCCGAGCAAAATGGCTCAACTACCTGAACTGGAAACAGACTGGAGGAATTGAGTGGACAAGGAAAGATGATGTCACTCTCATAAACAAGCTTACAGAACTTGATGTATCTGATGAAAATGAAATTAACTGGGATAATTTAGCTAAAGGATGGAAAAGTGTTCGTTCACCACAATGGCTGCATAGTAAATGGTGGACCATTAAACGGCAAATAACAAACCATAAGGACTTCACATTCCCAGTCCTAGTAAAAAGTCTTCAACAAATATATGAGAGCCAAAATGCCAGTCTCATGTTTTGGGAAAATAAATCAGGATCTGAATTGTCAAATAGTAAACCTGACATCAGTGTTCAACAAGTCCCATGCGTAGTCGATGGTGTAGAAGATAACAGTACATGCATCTGTCCAGTCAGCATGACAGGATTGCAAATTACACTTCAGGTTGCTCCTGGTTCTTCAGCAGACTACCCTGTGGCTATTGCTAACTCTGAAACAATAACCCTGCCCAATGGACCACAATAGATATCTGAGATGCTTCCTTCTTTCCATTCCCACAACTTGTGTCAACATCCTTCAAAGCAACTCAGCTCAAGGACTTCCCTTACTTAGTTCTGGTGCTGCAACTCCTTCTCCTAACCCATCACATTTCACTTTTTATCCCCAGAATATCTACTGAACACTAAAATCAATGACATGTGGAGTGTCATATATCAAGATTCATTACTAAAATATTTGAGAAAAATAACAATGATTTTTACACATCCCAAGCAGAATTGACAGTCAATATCAATATCAATTGCTTTGATTTTTGTGGTCTTGTAAATTCATTTAAAGCAAACAAATTACCTGACAGAATTATTTAACTAACCTGGCTTTGTAACAATCATTTAATTATACCCTGGTTTCTAAATTCAGAGACCCAAAAAGCATAGAAATAATAAACTGTGCTATAATTACACCAGAATAAGTCTGTGACATCAACCATAAGGATAAGAAATTCACTCTGATTTATCCAGTTACTCACCATAGTAGAGCAAGTGCTTCCTTTACACAAGTCGTGACAAAACCATGTTTCGTGCCCTTTCACTACCTGGTTTTATCAAGGCATTGGGTTTTACAGGTGCTGAACCTGTCTTGCAATTCACAACACTAATAGGTCTAATAAACCAAAAACTGCAAGCATTGTATATCATTGCTTCCTTTATGGGCAACATCATTTCTAAAATCATAAAGGATATTGAACTTGTGAAATATTACTAGTCTATCCTTAGAAACAAGCAAAATTCCAAAGCAATTATATTGGAAGAGTGATGCCTGAGAGACTTTAATTTCTAATCTTCTGAATCACATAGATACAGTAATGGTGATGAAGTGTTACTGGATCTGCAGAGGAACAGGACTGATGATCAATATGACTTACTTCTAATCTCCTGACTCACATAGCTACAGTGAGTTAGTTGTGAACATTAAGACTATGACTTTTTTTTTTTACTATTTTCAATAACACTGAGATCCAGTTTTATAATACTGTGTGAGTGGACAGTGAGAAGTTTAATTGTACATCCTTGTGTGTGGAATGTTATATAATAAGGGGATTTTTCCCCTCAGATACTTGAAAAGTTTCAAAGCACTAAAGGTTAACTGCAGCAATATTCATATTATACCTCAGACATGGTATTGATTAAATATCTATAAGGATTGCTTACATTTTAAATAAGTCCTGAAAGAACTTATTGGCTACAAATAAAGATATTTTAAAGATGACTTAGTGTTAATTATTCTTGATTAACCCATTGTTGGCACCTAGAGACTATTTAGGCCCTAGAATGTAAGTAAAGAAAATTACTATAATTTTGCTGTCATTAAGGGGAATATGAATTATTAAACAAAACAACTTTTATGGAAGATGTTTCCACTCTCTCATCTAATTACAATTTTTAGTTCATAATTAGAACAGTGAAGTGAAACTAAATGACAAAAGAGGTATAATCCCTACACTTGATAACCAGAACAGTTTTATTACATGTACAATATTAAATACACAGAAATCAGATAGAGAACTTGTATTGTTCCCTCAACAGGCAATATGCTACATTAAATGGCAATTTTAAAAACAAAGATTGCATATGTAACAAAAGAAACAGATCAATTTTTGTTCCTACTGGTTATGTTTAAACTGGCTTGTAGATTTGAATTGAAATGCTTGCTTCAAAAATTCATCAAAAGTACAGTTATATAGTTTGATTTTGATGATATTATTACAAGCATAATTAACTATTTCACATTAACAAAACACAAACAAGATAAGAAATGTGTGTTAATTAGGGAATAATTTGTATTAAGCTTAATAAGAAAAAATATCTTACAAGGCTAAAGGTTAAGATACTTTTGTGTGTGTGTTTGCTAAAAATTTCTTTTTGCATGAAGGGATGTTTAGAGCAATCATGAAGACTTCATATAGATTAACTCAAACATGTAGCTCTTTCACAAAGTTAAACAAAAGTCTAAGTCAGCACTGTTTTGCCATAGAAATACTTATAACTCTTTGAGTCAGTCCTTTGTCATGAGAAAATGCTCAATATTTGAGAGCACAGTATCTGTTAAGTAAGTGAAACACATGGAGTAGCCTCCTCATCTATACTTCCAAAGTAATGATAAATAATTAAGAGCAATATATAGTAGGGCATACTCTGCTCTCAACAAAATTACTGTCCATTTCAGAGTGTTAAAATATTTTAGTTAGGTATGCATTGAGACTTTTCCTTTTGCATTGGTATCTTCCCTGAGGCAAAGACCCATTCTTTTTCCAACCCTTATTAACTGATATCACTGTTTATACCACACGACAGAGTCAATACATGTTTGTCTCTAATTTTCCTATACATGTACATATATCAGATATAATGGACAAATATGTGTGTGTATGTTACAGAATGAATGTAGATTAAATTGGTTGAAATAAATTAAAGATGCTTTAGAATTTATCTAAACCAAGTCATTATATATAGTAAATGAGAAAGATCAGTGAAGAAGGAACAACTAGTAGAAACTGTTGATGTCAGGTTTAAGTTGGAGGCTATAGCATCTTAAAGGCTACTGGCTGAAGGAATTCCTAAAGCACCTCCCCCTTTTTAAGTAAAAGAGTTCTTAGCCTAATACAAAACTATATACAATAATAATAAATATCAAGTAAAAAAAATTAAAAGTACAAAAAAACATAAATAATATCAAACAAAAAACATGTGATAAATGTTTTAATAATTATCCTAGCCTAATGAGTTTAAGTTGTATACAATAAATAACTTGGACAAGTCAAGAAAATAAAGTAACTACAACTATCTAGTCTTCAACTCCATCAAAGATCTGAGAGGGGAAATAATATTACTTGAGTAAGCTGGAAGCACAATCGAGCAACTTCCAAAAATGTACAACAAATAACATAGACAACTGAGTACCAGGACGATCACCCAAAGTCTCATTTTCAATGTTGGAGCAACCAACTTTAGCTGAGACCTAGAGTAACTGACAGACAATTTTCAGAGGCAGGAAATTTTTCCAAACCTTCTTACCCTGTCTTAGCATGATTCGAAGTCTTTTTTCTTGTATCTCACTTGTCCTGCCCGGACTTTGTGCATTTTGTCAGTGGCTGATGCATGGACAGTTCTTTGCACAAAGTTCAGTGTCTTTGGTGCTCAACATTCTCTCAGGAATATAAAGGTGCTTCCAGGAGCAATCGTGTCTCACTTCAACAGAACCCTAAGTTATTTAAATGTCACATTCTATAGAAGTTTGAAGTGGCTGAAGATTACCCATCTATGCAGAATATAATCTTTATGTATCTGCAGAACCTGGTTAGTATAACCATAAGTATGACAAGCATAGATGACTATTGAGCTATAATTTTTAATATCTATATAACTTAAAGACTAAGACTTCAGATTAAAATTTTAAACAATTTTTAAACAATGGTACAACAAATAAGGACAATGATATCAAAATGTAAACAAAGTATAAGTATCTTGATCAGATGTAGAAATGTATATTGCTATATGATCAATATATCTTAAAATTGTATCAATATACATAATGTCTTAAGCAGAGGTAAAAGCATGCATGGTTACAATATGACAAGATAACTTTGCCTAGGTATACAAATATTATAGGCTAAAATAGGAACATAGTTAATATAATTTAAGTTTGGGTCAATATACAAGAATCTATACCAATGTAAATAATAGCTCACAAATATTCACTCCATTACTCTCTATTAATATTGGTGTGAGTTCACATTAATCTATTATCACACCCAATGTCTCTCCACTTTTATTCAAAGATGTCCCTGAGCCTACATAATTTCCCCCCCAACACTATAACAGTTATAATTAACACCTAAATTATTCCCTGAGGACAAATTTTGTGGGGAGAAGGGACATTGTCTTCTAGAATTACTTCCAGCTGTCAAGGGATGATGTACTTTCTATGGGATCCTGTGAAAGTAAAACAAGGGTTAAGTTCTATGATAACTCTCTGGTATAATTGCAAATAGTTTCTGAGTATGTGGTAGGGTTGCTCTGAGTTTCCTGTTTGGAGTTCTGGCCAGAATATTATACAAAATGTGCAACATTTCAGTAAACAAAGTTGGAACCATCTTGAGCAGCTGGCACCCCAAAATGGTCTTATAGTAGTGCTATCAGCATCATGGCATCAAAATAACCAGGTGGAGTTAAATCTTCTTCTTGAAACTCAAATATTATTGCAGGAAAATACATTCCTCACTGTTGAGAACTTAATTATTATTTATACAGACATACAGATTTATATAATCAATAAAAGGTATGATAAAGACAAAAATGGGTGTGAAAAAAGTAAATATTTCTAAATTCTTTTTCTATCCTATATCATGGCTCATGACTTGAGACAAAAATTCAGAAATTTTATTTTAACAACATGCTTGTGTTTATAGTATAACAGGGTCAGTGTCCAACTTCAAAGACAGTTTTGATTTTTAAGTGATTATGATTGTCATTTTAGTTTATGTTTTGAGATTTTTACTCTCAGATAATATGTTCTCATAAGTAATAATTCTCTTTGCTTGGTGATCCTATCTGGATAGTTTTCCTGTTAAGGCTCCTAGATGTCCAGGGTCTCTTGATTTTTTAAAGATGAGTATTTTTCTGCAAAGTTAAGGGCAGAACCCTTCTCCAATGCTTATGAGTTTTTTTAACACCTTTATAAATGTCACTGGTGTGGATGAGCTGTCTTTTTTTTCAAGAAGTTTCTCCTTTTCAAATCAAATCCTTATTAATTTTTATAGCATTCATAGTTTTTCATCTCTTCTGGAAATAAGAATGAAACCCCTTCCCCAATGTGGCATATCACCTGGTTTCCATTGTGAGGTCAACACATCCTTCAAATACACTGGCAGAGTTAATTCAGAAGACTTTTCTATTATCCATTGTCTCTCTGCTGCTGCTGTTTCTTTCTTATTAGCATTAATAAAATTCAAGGTTATTAAGGCATTATGTAATTTATTTCTGGGGTATTTCTTATCCCCTTCTGTTTGTTTAACATATCCTTTATAGTTCAATTTGAATGTACTATAACAGCCTGACATGTATGATTGTGTAGTATACCTATAATATGCTTAATATTATAATAAGCAAAAACTGTTTCATTTTCTTAGAGACATATGGTGGACAATTATCTGTCTTTATTTATGCATATAAACCCATGATGATCATAACTTCTAATAAATATGTAATTACTGAATCAGCCTTTTCTGAGCTTAACGCAGTTGACCATTGAAAAACTGAATCCATATCTATAGAGTGGTACACATATTTTAATTTACCAAATTCTGTAAAGTAGAGAAAATACATTTGCCATATTTCATTTCTTTGTGTATCATTTAGTTTGTTTTCTTCTGGTAGCAGTGTGTTTGGTTATAGAAAGAGCAAGTAGGGCATCTCTTTATAATCTCCTTTGCTTGTTTCCATGTAAAATAACAGTTTTTCATTAAAGCTTTGCTATTGACATGATTTTATTTAAATTCTGAGGCCGACAACATGCTTTCAATCAATAGTTGATCAATTTATCCATTACCATGTGCTAGAGGGCCTGGCAGACTTTTATGGAATGAGGTGTGTGTTATATGTATATAGAAAAAATGTATTCCTGATTACATCTTGCACCTGGATAAATAATAAAGTCAATTCTACATCGTCTGGTATAAATTCAGCAGTTTCAATATGCAATACAATGTTTGCTGCATATTGTGAATCAGTAACTCTATTGAGATGTTCTTTAAAATCCCTTATTTCCATAAGAATATCATATAATTCTGCCTTCTGGACAGAATTATAAGGGTTTTGATCCTCCTTAATTATTACTTCTAATAAATGTCCTGATTTCCCTGATATGTTTACACCAGTATAAAATCTACGAGCTCTAGTTATTGGTATATCACATTATAATTTGGGGATGAATAAAAGAAGTTGTCTTTTTGAGATTACATCTATTGTTTTTAGGATAATTGCTATTAATTTCACCCAGAAAAATAACATAAGATCTTTGCCATGGTTCACTCTCTTTCCATAACTTTTTGTTTCATCAGTAGTGAAAGGCACAGTAATCTCTGCTAATTGACAATGTCTCAATTTACTTTTCATGATAAATTCACAAATCTTTCCCATATAAGTTTTTAGTTTTTTACTTGGTTTATGTG